GGTCAGTTTCGATGGAGGTTTTTCTTTTTGGGTTGTGAAGGCAGGCACGTCAGACACTGTTGCAAAGTTTCCGATTCTGTGCCAGCATCTGAGCTTCCGTAAATATAACCGGAGTGTGATAAAGATTCGGTTGAAATACTTGCCCTAAGAAATTCTTGCCCTCCACTGGTTCTTTGGCCATCGGTTGATCAAGTTAAATCTCTTAATGCTCTATGGAACCATTCCTAAAATGTGCCCACCTCATCACAGCTGTGACTTAATCTACAGAAGCAACCGCTTTCAACCGAGGCCATTTTTCGATATCTGAACACTGGACTCTGTCGAAACACCTGGACCTAGCATTTCGCCTCACAGCGTCTAGTTTTTCAGGAATAATTTCTTTCAACATGGTCTTGAGAGCTATCATGATTGTTGGGTCAGCTTTTACGTATAGATTCAGAAGAAGAAAATCATACAGTATATTTCCTTACCGTTTTTCAGTAACGAATGTAAAAGCGTTATGACAATTGTATGATTCGGCCGGTGCCGCGAGACTGACACATGCGACGATACGGTGAGGCTTCACTTCCGGAGATATTGTTGTTTTACTCGTCAAATTCACGCGAGTAAGAAACCGATGGTCGTAAACCAGGTGAGACCAATTTTCCGTGAATGACAGGTGTGCAGAAGAATATAGACGGTGCAGAAATTTACAGTATGCCTCGTACGACTTTTAACGGCAACAGTCGCTTCTGTTGAGACTCAAACCGACGAGTGTTGAAAGAAACTTCACTTCTGTCACTACGATAATTGGAGGTAACATTTTTTTGACCAAATTGAGTGACAGCTTCCGGGGATTCATTGTTGTAACTTTCAGTTCGCATCAGTTCTTCGTCTATTTGTGGCTATTTGTGTCAACAGCATAGACTTAATGGTCGACTGAGAAATTTACGCAGTAAAGTAAGGCCAAGGTCCATTATAATATTTCTGGTGGTATTTAACGACGAATATAAGCCTGCACCACGAACCATAAAAATCACTCTTGGTATCAATGAAATTTTGAGTGCAACTGATAGATACTTAAGTAAGTCTTATCTAGGATGTAGTAGAGAGAACTCTATTGCTAGTAAAAGATGATTATTGTATAATAGTGATAAATATTTAATAATCGAGCATGTGGTACTGATTGAGATGCTCTGTATATGCAGTCATATGCGATCATAATTCTTTCGAAATGCAAGGACTTCCTGAGTATTTCAGTTCCAGTAGAGCGACAGCTGGTGTTCGTTGCTTGTCACACTGCCACTTAATCTTATACCGTCCAAACCTGGCCCATTTCCGAATATTACTTGGTTCTTTATTTTTGCAAATTCAAGATTCTCCATAGCTCTGTTCGTCGATACACCCATGAAAATCAAATAGATTATTGGCAGCAAACTGATTGGGTCATTATTATTCAGAACTTATTTACCCGACTTTTGTGCAGAACAACTACCAATGTGGCAGTCCATTCGACTGTGATGTTCATTTTCATCAGATGATGTTTAGGTAAATGTTCGAATGATCTGTTCCGTTTCTCACTTTCTGATTCCGCCAGGTCCACCATACTGCTATCTTCTCCAAAATCTATAACCTATTCTTATGCCTGATAGCATATTTTATTTCTTGCGCTTCTTTTAGCAAGATATCCGAAATTTTGTATATCTAATGCCCCCAGATTCATAAGGAGTTCAATTTTTGGCCCTGTTCACTTGTCTGAAAAATCTTCTACTCTGTTTAAGACCTCTCATCCGCTTCTGTTGACGGCCTCATTTTCTACCCTGACAACCAAAACTTTGTATTTTCAGGCTGCTAGTCTTTGATTTAATTTCTTCAAGCATCGTTTGTTTCAGTAATTTCCATTAATAGTTAGCACCAGAATAATCAAGTTGCTTCTGTTATGCGCCCTTTTAAAATATTAAGAAGTTCCAATTTTTGATCTTCGAACTATAATCTGCTGCTACCTTCATTTTCTAACATTTTTTTTATTAGTTATTTGGTCTGTCGTATGAAGTTTGGTGCTTCGCAGTCTGTTTCAGCTATGCTTTCTGTTTCCTCCTAAGTGTTCTAAGTGATTTCCTCGTTTTGCTATAGATTTGGCTCATTTGTTTGTATGTGGTACTTTCCAGAATGATCGTCCGTCGATATTGGTATTGACTGAAGTAAATTCGCACGCAGCTCATACCACATTGATATGGACTGAAATTTGGGTTATACTATGAATAGGTCTGGACAGAGGCTTGGCCTGTCTATGGAAATGTAATAAAATCTTGCATTGTCGGTCTGGAATAAACAGTGCATGGACTAGTCGTGCCTGTATGGACGATTACCACCCTGGACGGTTACATATATGTTTAAATTCTTAAGTTCCCTATTAAACACTGAATCTCTGCGTGTTTTATTTATGAAACTTTCCTAGAATAACTACAACGTTCAATGAAGGTTAGCGTTTAAGGCTGTTACTTATGACGATGCTGCCATTTACTCAATTTGATTAATCCAATACAGTAATTACAAGAATTCAGTTCCGTCCAGGAAAAAGAGTTGGCTACGAGATCGAAACTTACAAAAGTAGCGAAAGAAGTAGGGAAGGAGAAATCGAGTACTTCCGCGTTGTTAGGCGGTTGTCTTACCATACATCCCATTGTTAGCCATGACAGAACCGTAGGTCTCCCTAGCCATTCGCTCTACAAAGCCGTTTTTCCTGAATAATTTCAAAGGTACCGCCAAATCGTAACAATGGATGCAGATGTTGAAACTGTGCGCGTTCGTGTCCCTTCGTAGCGAGAAAAATATACGCGCTAAACGGTGTTAACCCGGTACAGTGTCGCGCTCAGTAATTGGATACCACGTATTCGTTTCCTGCATTGATTCAGAGAGGTATTAGGTGACTGACTCCGCCAAACGTACATGCCACAGGCTTGATTGTTA